TAACGGTAGGACAGGAAGAGTGTACTTGAGCTCGCGCTTGGGTTCTGGCTGGAAGAAGAGTGAATTGAGCTACGCACCTCTCAAACCTTGAGCCTTCCGGTTTCTCCAAATTTGTTTTTGGTGGCCTCAACCATTGCCTTCTCCCTTCTCCAAAGTGAGTCTCCCCTCAAATGACCGGTTTTTTGGCCGCAAAAAACAACCGTGCTGCATCTTCCAGGCCCAGCCGGGCACTGGTGGGGACGACTCCCACATCCGCAGCAGCGCCATCGTGCGGTTCATGGCGGACACCGACGGCCTGGCGCCCATGGAGTGGCAGTACGGGGGCGACCGAGGGCCCGCCCCCCCAGTGGTGCTGGCGCGGAAGGACCGGCTGCCGCTCTCCAGCCAGGACTTCCGCCTCATCTGCGGCTCGGATTGCTACACCTGTTGGGAGAGGGGGGAAAGGGACAAGCTTTGAGGAATTCGTCGAATTACAGTCCTTTGCTGTGGATTGCTTCGTCCAGGAGTTGTGTGTGTGTGTGTTGGTGTGTGTTTGTCTCTGTGTGTGTGTGTGTGCGCCTGCGTATGTGTTTCTATTAATCTACCAGCGTTTGTGTGGGTAATTCCCAACACGTTTGTATCCTAAAGGGAAGGACCCACTGTTTTCCCCTTGGTTTCTCTGTGGCGCCTCTCTCTCGTGCCGAAAACGCGACACGCCCGCGGATCTGCGGATGCGCGAGGCAAGTACATGAGCTACTGGATGGAGGAAGCCGAGGAGGCAGAGGAGCACATGACGGAGGTGTCCAACCGCATCTTAGAGCCCAACGCCTTCCAGGCGAGGGATACCTTCAAAGTGCGGGGTTCGGAACGGGGAAGTGGTATGAAGCATGGCAAAATGTCTGTAGGTTGACATAGCCCTACTTGGACACAGAACTGTATGAAGACACACAGGCACAACGCATGATTGCAGCATGATGCTTATGATGCTTGCCTGCCAGGCGTACGTGCGCGAACATGCGGAGGACCGGAGTGCTCAGGCCAGCAAGCACAAAATAAGGCTGAGACTCACTCGCCAACGACAAACCACGGACTTGGTGAAAGGAGCGAAGCTGGCAAAAGGAGATGATCACAACTGCTCACTTAGAGCCCAAGCAGTGGGTCAAACCTCATGGCCAACAAAGTACCCTCTCAAAACATGTTGGTTGCCCTTTGCCACTGCTATACACCGCCAGAGTGACAACTTATAATTTCAGCAGACAAACCAAATCATATTCACCGGCTTTCTTTGGCTCAAACAATCGACGAGTGCTTGATGATTTCTGATCTCAACACGATGGTTGTGCCGTGTTTGACCGGCAGCTCCTGCGCTGAGTTTCCGTCAGGCGACAAACTCCGAACTCCCAACTCTTAGTGTTTTGGGGACTATGACCATAGCTTGGTCACTTTCAGCTGTGTTCTAGTCATGTACCAGTCCACTTTCCAGAAGGGATGAGGCCAAACCCGCGAGGAGCATCCTTTGGCCTTCCTCTCGTTGCAGTTCCCGCTGCGGAGCACAGTTTTAGCCGATGGGCTGGAGGCTTCAGATTTGACACGTGGCCGGAGTGCAAGAACGTTCGCCGCACATACACCCCACGGAATGGGGGTCCCAAGTTGAAGGATCATCTCTCGGTTAGGGCATCCCTGGTAGTCAACCAGGGGGCTCCCCAGAATGCCGAGGTTAGGTTGGTTGGTTGCTGGATGGATGGTTGGTTGGCTGGCTGGGTTGAACATCACGAGCTGCCCCTGAGGCTGATGTTGTACAAGAGGAAACCCAAAAGTGACCCGCAAAGAGACAAGTTGCGACAAGACAAGCAATTTGTAGAATCATGAATCCTGCCAGCAGCTAGACGTCATCCATGTGTGTGTGTGCCGCAGTGCACCGGCGTAGGGAAGCCCCCATAGCGGTGATATTTGGGTGCATGGGTCAAAATGGTTCAGATCTCTGATTAGTTGCTGAGGCTTGGTTTGTTTGCAACACAAGCGCAGAGGTGTGAAAGACACAAGTTTCAGGGAAGCCGCCAATCGGATGGTGTTTGAAAGGCCACCAGCAGGAAGCCAGCCAAAGGGAAGAAGCGGGAACTTGATCCCGCGTTGGGTTTCGACGGTGCACCTCTAAAGGGGGTGATTCAGATTCAGATCTCATCCCAGACATCCTGAAATCTTCTAGCTCCCATTCTGCATGCACGTGTTTCTTTCCATATAGCGCATGTGGCAGCAAAGTCCCTCCAAAATCTTCGGCGCACATACGTCCAATGTAATGTCACAATGTAACTGATGTCCAGCGAAGCGTCCCCAATTTGAATTATGTCCCCTATGGCACAAAAGGCTGGGCAAATGAGGCATGCCTGAATTGATGAGTGTTCAGATCATAGGTGCGTGCCCTTCTAGTTCAGCTTGGACAAAAAATATTGCAGCAGTTGGTCGTTGGTTGACCCAACTCACACTTCAGTTTGGACCAAGAATCTTGCAGCAGTTGGTCGTTGGTGTATCCAACTGACACTTCAGTTTGGACAACACATCTTGCAGCAGTTGGTCGTTGCTTGACCCAACTCACACTTCAGTTTGGACCAAGAATCTTGCAGCAGTTGGTCGTTGGTGTATCCAACTGACACTTCAGTTTGGACAACAAATCTTGCAGCAGTTGGTCGTTGGTTTACCCAACTGACACTTCAGTTTGGACAAAACATATTGCAGCAGTTGCTAGTTGGTTTATCCAACTGACACTTTAGTTTGGACAAAAATTATGGCAGCAGTTGGTTTTATTGGTTTATCCAACTGACAAACAAGAACGACCCCCCCGTGGTTCGGACAAAATCTTGCAGCAGTTGGTCGTTGGTTTACCCAACTGACACGAACGAACGAACGACCCCCCCCGTTCGAGGAACGGGCAGCAGGGCGAGGTGGTGGACTTCACGCGGGACCGGGTGGGGGTGGAGTTCCCCGATGCCAAGCGCTGCGCCCTGCGGCCCTGCAAGCTGAAGCTGCAGCGGGAGCCGCCGAGCGAGCGGGAGCCCAAGGCCAAGCGTCCGGCGCTGGACAAAGAGGAGCTGGTTGGACGGTGAAGTCCCGTTTAAGGTGGAAGGCCTTTGAGTTTACGTCTTTGTGTTTGTTTTCGTTTTTTTTGGTTCCCCCCTTTTTTCCCGCTTTTTTGAGGTAGTTCAAGGATGTTTGTATTTGCTAGTAGTAGTGAAGGCTGGTGCTGCTGCTGCTGCCGCCTTGATCTGTGATTTGCCTTGTGCCTTGTTGGTGTTGGGGCACGTTGGGGTTCTGGTTCTTCTGGTTATTCTGGTTCGTTGGGTTTGTCGGGTTGTTCTGGTTCTTCGGTTTCTTGAGCGGTCGTTGCATGTCTTTGAGTGTTCTCATGTTGTATTTTCCTTGTTTGCATGGCAGTACGAATATGTTAAGTTTACAAGCAAACCATTCACACCCCAATTCAGCACGCCACTTCAAGGCTATTCAGCGAGCTTCCAGGCATCTAAACATCTCAACCAGTGAAGGAGCGGAAGAAGGAACTGGAGAGACAGGAGGCGCTGCAGATCGCGAAGCGATTCCACGAATGCCTCTTTGAGGACACCTTCCCGGAGATGGGGGATCTGCATTTGTTCGGGGTGGGTTGCGATTACAAGGCCAGGGCCACCGAGGTGCTTGCGGTTTGGCAGGGCTTGGTGAAGCACATGGATTTCACCGCCGAGCAGATCGCGGAGGCCCTGATCCAGGGCAACATGAAGGAGCGCTTCACCGAGTGGACGCAGAAGTTGGCGGAGTCTCGTACACCCAACTCCACCTATGCCACAAACCTGATCGCTGCACATTTTGCGGCAACAGAGTGGGATGAGCTTTGAGAGACCCCATTCGCAGTTTTAAGCTGATTGGCCAGAAGTGCCTTATAGATGACAGATGCCGGAAGTCACCTTGTCACCTAATTTGTTTCTCATTCTGCGGGCATCATGGCCGTTGGAACTTATGAGCTTATCCATGATGGTTCGTTGTGATGGTTTGCTTCAGGTACCTTGTTGTTTGTTTGCCTTTTTCTTCCGGGTGCACAGACAATCTCCCCACATTCCGCGAGCTTGGTTTTGGCCCTTGGTGACGTTCTTGCACCTGCCTACGCCTACCGCTCAACTGAGCCATAAACCAACCGAATCGACGCCGCCGCCGTAAAGTGGGGCCCGGGGCGCTTCGCCGATGCTCATATTAGGATGCTACGGGCATTCCTTATTTTGGATAGGTGTCCTTACGATCTGAAGAGTCAACAGGGCAAGTATCCTAGACCAGATGACCGGTACCATCTGGTACCACAAGGTGCATACACATTTGACTTGCGGCTTACGTCGCCTGCTTTCATTTTCATTCATGCCTGAGTGTGGCAGACAGCAGTTTCGCGTGTAAGGACCACCTGTGAGATATCGACTTTGTTATATCCCCCTCCCAACAAACAGAATGGTTGTTTTCCTTTGAATCCCAAGAAGCAGTGGCTCAATTGGGGTTGAAGGCCTAAGTTTGTTGACCCATCTGAGGTCAAGGCCGAGTCTCTGGAGGCTCCAAGGGTGGCTCGGGTTTTGGAAGGGGCCCAAGCTTCAGCCGTGCTGTTGTGATGCTGGGCCATGCCGTCGCAGAGGTTTCATGATGAGCATGTTGCGTGCTGGGCAACTGGTCACAACCTCAGGCCCTCAGGCCCAGAAAAAAGCAGACGTTCTGCCTGACAGAGCCCGTATTATAACCTGTCGAGCAGACAGGCATGGCCCACTTGATCGCTCACGCGGGGCCGTGAAGTTGTTGAGCACAGCACATGCACGACTTTTGGCGATCACTCAGCGTGCTGCATTGGGTGGGGTACATATGCTTTTAATGCCATGTGCTCCATGTACTCCTTGTGGCCTTTTACTTTCCCACATCCGGTGCCGAGACTCGTGCCTCGGTTTTCGTTCTTGGTTTCCTTGGGGCCGCAGGAGGTGCCCAGCTATGCCACACTGGAGTCCATCATGGACAGGCCGGGAACTCGCAAACTTTGTTTCAGTTGTCCCGCTGTCGGAAAGGTAGCCTCCAAAAGAGCATTTGAATGAATTCTCTTCGTAGTCTCTACGGAGAAAAACAAACGCCTCTTTTGGGATGTGATCTTCATGTAGCCTGCAACGTCTTAAAACTAGAGGATTCCATTTGCTTTGCACAGAACTTACACAGTTGCTGACGCATTTAGATGCGCCTCTCCCCATCTCTTCCTTGCTTGCATATGGATCTGTGAAACATGAGCAAGTGAGTCTACATGAGGCTGTTATTTTGGGGCATACGTTGGATTCTCCGCTCACTTGTTGCCCGGTCATTTCACCTGAGCCTTCAAACATCGCAAGTGACTAGTTGGGAATCCCCCGCCGAGGCTGTCGAAGAGAGCCGTGCGGTCCTGAGAGTTGGTCGCCAGCGTTTTTGTGGTACGTTCGGCGAATGCTTTTCCACGGGTTTGCATCTTGTGGTTTGTTCCAACACTCAGCTATTGCTTGGGTTCTGGAAGGTTTGTGGCGAAAGCTTGGAGTTGTTCCGGGCAGATGTCAGAATCAGGGCAAGACAAACAATGATCAGACACCCTGTTATTCCACTCAAGATGCTTGCCCCTTGAACTGTTGTTGAAGGAATTCGGCGTGAGGACTACTATGTCATGCCTGTTTGTATGGTTCGTGCATTTAGCATAATCTTCCTTTTGAATGTGGCATTCTGGCCGTACATGAGCATTATTTGTATTTGGGTTGTTGTGCCGGATTCAACAATGACTCCCAGCGAAGCTTCAAGCTGTGTCCATCATTCATCTCTTTGACTTTGGGGCTAGGCATGTGGAGCCTTGGGCCTGGGGTTGCATCTTCAACTTCCTGCAAGTTGAGGTCCCGGATGATGCGTGCGCCCCCCAGTCTGTAAATCCTGGGACGAGATACCTTTAGCTTTAGTCCATGAGCCAACTTTGATTTAAACCCTGTGAGGCAACTGGCCTTTTGAGCTATTCTTTACTTGCTGCCTGCCCCCAGCAAGAGCTTTCTCAAGTGGGTTGTCCAACCCAACACGTATAAGTAAGTGGAAGAGAATCAACGCCAACATGCATTCATGGAACTGAAGTGATTTTTGATTGAATACTTGGTTACGCTCTTTCGTGATCTCCATTTATGGAAACACGGACTTGAGTTTCAAGAGCGAAGGCGTGGTGAACTCGTTAGCGAAGGCGTGGTGAACTCGTTAGCACCATGAACCTGGTACTGTTTGAGCCAAAAGCAACTCACATGTTCAACTGCCGAGGAATACTAGACAAATGGAGTGAACAAAAGGTTGGCCTTTCATTTTCGGGGGGCGGTTGGCTTGGTTTGCTGGTTTGCCAATGTCAGGGCCAGCACTCACAGCGCTGATGGCAGGACTGAGCGGGATGGCGGGATGGCGGGAGGGGGCTCCAGTCATGGGATGCCCGTGGCAACCAGAAATGCGGCAGACTTACTTTCCATGCCGGTAACCCAGCGATCCGCCATTTGAATACCCATACAAAACCGAGAGCAAAGTGTGGACGCCAGAGATCCGGCCAACGGACTTTCCATTCCGGCAACCTGCCCAAGTGCTCAACACAGAAACCCAATTCCTGATTCGCTTGGTTTCCCTTTAATCCTTCAATGCAACCCGCAAAGGTACGTGCACCAACTCCAACAAGACCCAACAGGTTCAAACCTTGGCTCCAACTGATTCACCGTCTATGCGTACAACGGATCGAGTTTGGGCACCAGATGCAACAGCATAAAATCCTAGCTGTGATGTGAAAGGTATCATACGGATGAGGAATAAAATGGCATGCCTCAATGATGGCTGCTTCAGTACTCGGCTGGACGCCTTTCAGGATTTGCCCAAATTACCGCCAACCGGTTTAAAGACAAGACTTGCAAATCGGATTGCAAAACCATTTACCAATAGAGATTGTTCATTACGATTGGCCATCCTTCATGTATCAGAGCCACATTAGTTTTAGTCGGACCCACCTGCAGTTTGTTCTGTTGGGTTTCAAGTGCAGGATGGATCACCGTTGACCCTTTTCGAGGTCCATGCCGGAACCATGCTTCATGTGAGCTGCAAACATGTGGCCGTGTCATGGTTCCTTTCTTTTGTTAGCTAGAGTTCCCTTTGAAATTATTTAAACAAATAATAAAGAAAGGGCGCCTGCTTAATTAAAAAAAATACATGTGTGTATACATATATATATATATATATACATAAAAGCAGGGAGATCCGCTGGAGTCTTGGGCTCTCGCCTGCAAGCTTTCGCGCAAGGACTCCTTTGAGCCCATGGCCAGGGAGCTCTCAGGCTTCTGACGCGTTCGCGCGCGTGTGTCGCGTCAGCAGGCTGGCTGTCGGTCTATTGGTGTCCTTTTGGGTCCGGTTGGTTGAAAGTCGCTGGCTTCCAGGATTCCACTGTTATCAGCTATCAGTCTGGTTCTCATGATTTACCAGTGCCAGCATTTGCCCAAGGACTTGTGCTTGCAGGGCCAAGATGTATTGTGTTGAAGCAGGAAGTCATCTCAGGCGGTTCTGTTGCATCATGTTGGCAAGCCTCAAACCTTGCACGCCTGGTGAGCGCGTGGCAGACAGATGTATATGTGTTCGAAGGCAAGAACACAGACCAAGGACCTTGGACAAATGACCCATCAGTGGAGCATGACAGCCTTGACCGACTTTCAGCAACAAAGTTCTTATTGTTATGATTGCTAATTGCTATTGAATGCTATCTTAGTTATGTTCAACCAGAATTGCTCCAAGTATCACTGCAAATTTGCAATGTCAGGATTTATTGCACCGACCAAGCCGCAGGCCAAAGTGCCTCCGCTGCCTGGGCGCGGGAGCTTACCTTGCCGCCTGTTTGGTGCAGCTCAGTGGCACCGGCTCTTCGCCTCGCGTTTCATCGGGTTCTCCACAGCCAAGAGGACTTCATGACTTGTGCACCGCGGTGCGTGTTTACCAACTTGAAGGCTGCAAGGACTGTGACAGTCAGAGCAGAGCTCAAGAGGCATGGTTTTTTGGGAAGGCGTGCTGCTGGTCTGAAGATTGATTGCTGGGAGCAGGACACAGATGCGCACTTAACTTAGATGGCTGGAATTTGAAGATTGCAGAGCGTCCAACGCCCCAGCAAGAAAACACCGGATATGGAAACGCTCGGCTTTCGGTAACAGGGACATGTATAACAAGGGATGTTTCTTGGTTTCGGGGTAAGTATCCTTTGTAAACATGAAATCAACAGGATGCCAGCCACTTAAAAGGTGAGTAAAAGTACCGGTTTCCCTTTGCTTTTTCCTTATCACAACCAAGCAACGGTTCACTCAGAACAGACACCCAACATGAACGCAGACTCAGCAACCCGCTGGCTCGCACCCGAGGCCGGCTCGGGAGCTGCCAGCCGGAAGCACAGCCAGCCGGGTGGGGAAGGTGGAGATGAGTGATGCCGGGCCTTTTTTTTCAGAAACATGGAAGTATGAGTACGCAAGAACGCGCATCTTTCGCACGCGGCCACGTGTGTGTGTGTGTGTTAATATGTATGTGTTGTTTGCTTAGGTGCCTGGTTAGCTGAGCGACTGCATGTATTTACAGGAGACTCAGTCAAGGCCGCGGAAACATTTTGTGGGTAACATTCTGAATCAGGTGCAAAACAAGGTAGGAACATCCCTAAATGCTGTGGATTTCTTTGGAGATGCGGCTATATGAGCTGTGTGACACCTATTGTCCTACAGCAGCTTGCTGTGTCCCTCAACCGCAGGGCAGTATCCGCCTGGGTGTGTCCTGTTTGAGGTTGCCCCAGAATGGCTGAGTGAACCTATTTTGCAACACAGCCTCTCCGAGGACACACCGCAAGATAGCCGCAAGAGCCAGGCGCGGAAGTTGGCACACACCCGTATGCAAAATTGATAAACTTTTTTGGGGGATAGTGGGACCGGGGGGATTCTTCACTTTTTGAGGACATAGGGAAGGAACAGGCGGCCGGAAGGAAACGGATCCCAGATCAGCAGGTTCTTTGCTTTGCCTTTGAATGTGCGGCTGCGACACACCGCATCTCGTTGAAGGGGCTTGTCCAAGTTTGCCAACCTGCTGTGGCAGAAAGAAAGAAATATACACTGAGGACTTGGAGCAAACAAGTTGATCAACTCCTCCTTCACCAATCCTGTTGGCATCATCGGAGCCCACTTTGTACCCGAGCCTTCCTCTTGTGTGACTGGGTTTACAAGTGGATGGCTCCGACTATTGAAGCAAAGGACAAAGGTGCCAGTTCCACACACACACAAAAAAAAAAACAACGCATCGAAAGGAGTCAGTGTCCAAACAACATGACCGTCAATTACACATGTCAGAAAGCGTGGGGTGTGCCTTCAAACCATCAAACGCAGTTTCGCCGTCTGGATCTGCCTAACACCTGGAGCCCAACATCAGGGGTTGCTAAGTCTTCTGATCATGATCGTTGATTGCCACTGGAGCACCTGAACATGAAAATCCCAACTGTGCCCGTAAAAGTAGTTTTTCAGAGGCAGGCAACCCCTTTCTTGACTTGAGATTGCATGGTCCAAAGTGGACCATTGGCTTCGACGCTTCCATAGTTCTCTCCAGTTCTGCAGGAATCACTTCTTGTGATTGAGCTTTTGGTCCCAAGGTGCTTCGGGGAACGTCGCGCAGGTGCCTAGATACAGCATCGGCAGCCCGTTGGACACAGCTCAGCCCCCAGAGGACACTCCCGATGTTCAGGCACAGCTTGCTTCCGCTTCCCCATGTGAGATGTTGGCCATATTGGGCCCACACAAAAACAGTTTCCCTTGAGCTTCCCTCGAAACCAACCCGACATCCAAGAGGTGCCCAGACAGTGGTCTCCCTTTAGCTTCCCTTCAAGTAATCTAACCCAGCATCCAAAAGGTGCCCCCCCTCAAAAAAGACAAAAGACAAAAACAAAAACAAACAACACACAACAAAAGGAAGGAACCATCCAAACCCAAAAAAAAGGCACCCGGAATATTTGTTGGGTGGGCGATTCCGAGAAAAGCCATGGCCGAGGCAAAGCCGGAGGCCGCTAGCCCGTGGTGGAAGCAGGTTGCCGAGATGGACGGGGCCTCCAAAACGCCCAACTGGGTATGGGTCAAAATTAGTCACCAGGAGTCGGACTGCAGGTTTGAATGTCCATGTTTCCATTTACCAGGGCAAGCCATTTTGGGGTTTCCCTATTTTTGACCAGCCAAATCACCAGTGGGGAGATGAAGGTCTCAGTTGTTCAGTGGCACCCTTTTTCCATTTTCGTTGGTGGCTGCCCCACTAAAAATGGCTTTCCCCAAAAAGGGTTCCCTTTTGTTCCAGCGTCACTGAACGACTAGGTGGGATTCTTGTTCCATGGGTTCGACCTAGTTGATACCCGGTTTCTCATTATGACTCGCCAGGTGACTGAGGATGTTTGTGTTGGTTGACGGGCGAGTGGGATTTCGGCCAAGCTTTGGATGCGTGCCCACAAGCTGCACTCATGACCAGGAGCCCAAAGCGGCAGAACGGGAAGACGAGTCGCCGGTTGGATGCTGAGAGAGGCAGGCCAGGCTTGGTGGGTTTTCGATGTGCAATTTCCCCGGAATAGCTGGGTTTTCGATGTGCAATTTCCCGGAATTGCATAGCTGAGGGAGTAATATCAGAACCATGCCAGGCTCAAAGCAGCGTGGCGGCGGTTTTTTGCGCGCATCTGCAATCCCCAACGGGAAAAGCTCACCACAAAAAATCACCGGGGAAGCAAATGGATCGAGCGCTTTGGTTCCCCAAGGCTCAGGGAGGGTCGGCCTTTTTTCGGCGTGTTTTCTCTCGAGGTCAAGGCGGCAGACCCGCCAGCAGAGGCGCTCCAGCCGCACCTTCCAGTGCGCATCGCCGGTATTCTGCCATCATGTGTAAGTGCTCTCCTATGCTTGCTTCTTCTAGGCTATTTGAGTTACACGTCATGTGCCAGCCATAAAATATGTGTTTCAGGCTGATGTCGGCGATGCTTGTAAATTATGCTGTTGTTGTTAGCAATGGTGGCGATTGCTTCATGCTGCATCGTGGTGGCTGTGGTGGTCCAGAGACACTAAAATTGATGATGCGGAGGCAAACACAAAAATGAGGCTGACAACAGCCCACGCTGACAGCCCACGCTGACAGCCCACGCTGACAACAGCCACGCCGAAGGGATGGCCTCCGCAGGTGCTCCAGCCGCTGCTGGCGGCATTGCGAGAGGACTTCAAGCGGGAGCTGCAGGAGGCGACACGCCCCGAAATCGATTGGATGGTGTGTGTGTGTGTTTTCTCCACGTGAATGTGCCGTTTTTGGTTGAGGGAATCGGGTCTGAAGTGAAAGCAAAAAAAAAGGACACCACCGGGTCACCGGGTCTCGGAGCCGAATTTCAGACCCGCCTTTGGAGCTGGTGCCCTTCTCGTTTCTCCCCGTCTCGCTAGGCTCAGCTGGCCATGATGGAGCAGAACTTCCGGCTCCACGCAGAGCTGCGGAAGGCGAGCGACCGAAGCGGTTCGAGGCTTTTGGCGCTGAATTCGCTTTTTCAGCGGGAGAGAGGGTAGTTTGTTGTGCCTAGGCGAGGGGTGCTCAAATTCCATGCTTCAGCTTCAGGGATTAGTTTATCCCATCTGACCTCGGCCCCTTGCCAGACTCAAGTTGAGGTTTTGGTTCCTTGATGTCCCCGTTGACCGGCACGTCAACTTGTTGCCGACTTAGCTAACTTGTTTGCATGTTGTTCTGCGCCAGTCTGGCCCGATGTTGGTTTTGGACCCGATCTTTCCCTTTTGACCAGCACGTCAACTTGCCGCAGGTCGGATGTGTTTGTCTCCAAAGGGAGGGTTTTGGACCCAGCTGGAAGACTGCATGGCCCCCCCAAGCTTTCTTTCGCGCCCACCCCCCCCCCCCCGGTATTTTTGCCAAGTGATTGGGTTCAGGATGTTGAGTCATAGTGGTTCCCCATGTATATTAAATATGTTTGTTGAATGATTCGGCTCAGGATGTTGGGGCTTCAGAATTTGGAACACCCGGTTGAGTTGCGGTTTTCAAGAGCCACTCGCCCGGCTGACTGCATCCATTTTGATGGGATTGATTCTTTCCGGCGGTTTGGAGTGTCAAAATGAGCGACATGCCGTGGTAGGGACATTGTGTGCACAGGCTTCCTGCAAACGGAATCCAACGCTTTCTGCGTAGCTCTGAACCTTTTCTGGGTGGCTTTAAAGGAACTCATCCTTTCTTTGGGGTATGCGCCACAATAAGGGGAGCCCCAATTATGGCTTTCCTTGTGGTTTCGCTTTAAAACATGGGGGCTGGGGGGGAGGGAGGGGGGGGATGGAGTCCAAATAAGCCCTAAATAAGGCCTCTCCCCCCCCCTCCCTCCCCCACAGCCCCCATGATTTTCCAACCCTCAACATCCGCCAGGACGTGGACGCGCTGCGGCGGGAAGTGCAGCAGCTGCGAGGGGAGCTGCGTGTCTTGTAACCAGAAAAGCCCGTAACTTGCCGCAGCACGAATTCGGCCACGGCACATGGCCCTACTTTTCTTTGGGTCTGTCTTTGTTTTCGGGGGTAGCATCTTTTGGTTGGTTTTAAAGGGGAGCCAAAAGCAAACCAACCATTTTTATTTTATTTTATTTGGGGGGGGAGTCCGCGAAAAAGCACACCCCGAGCCCCTGTATCTTTTTGGATGGTTTGCACGTCACCTGTTGGCCATTTGAAGCGAGTTTTCTCCGGGTGATAGGGAAAGAACCTTGACGCTTGCTAGTGCGGCCACATCTGGCTCCAGCCGAAAAGTGGGAAGTAGTCCCTGTGCTTTCCCTTTTCAGCAACCGCAAATAATATATGGACCTTGTTTCATGTGGGCCTCTCCCCCTCCCCCAGAACAGCGAAACCCGTGCTTGGGTCCTGAATAGGAGGCCTGGCAGGGACCTTGGATGATTGAGTATTGCTCTAGTATTGCCAATACTTAGTTCTTCTGGACTTGCAAGTTCCAGCGATGGCCGGCCTTGCAGCCGCTGCCCCAGCCGCAATTTCCTTCGTGACGTCTTCCCCGTGTTGTGTGTGTGTGTGTGTTCTCCAAACCATTCAATGCGAGCACGTCTCAGGTGAAGAATACCTTCATCCATTTCGAGGAAGGAGACGCTCGGATCTGATTTTGTAAGCAATAGGTGCGCTCGAAGCCGGAATGGGGTGTTTGGGGGCCTTTTTTTTTGCCCGGTGATTGAATCATCGGCTGGTTGCCGTTGGACGTTCCAAACACATTTTAAGAGCTCAGCATCCGAGCCAAGGAAGAGCGAGGCCTCAAGCGCGCACACTCATCTCCCGCTTTGCTGACTGAGGCTGGGAGGGCGTGAGGGCTTTTTAACGGAGGTGAAGCAGTGCTGAGTTTCCCAGTCACGGGTGTATTTAGTTCGTTCGTTCGATGGCATGATCTGTGTTTTAATGTCCTGAACACACTTGTTGTCCGTTGCCTCCTTGGTTGCCTGTTGGCTTTCATTGCTTCTGGATTTGCAGGCGGTTTTGGATTCGGACCCCATCCTTTTTTGCTGGGTTCGTTCAGCGCACGCTCCAATGGTGCTTTAGTGCTTGCCAGTGCAACTGGTGGAAGCAAGTTTGTTTTCTTTCGCAGAGGCGCTGGGCAGAACGCACGAAGTGTCCCGGCATTGCATGTTCGCCTTGTCCCGAATGAATCAAGCAACGCAAGCCTCCCGCTTGCACTGTTCTTGTATCCGCGGTTGGCGAGGGATTGACCCAAAGCAAACGCACAGGCAGGTTGCCAAAGTTGTGGATCCCCGGTTCAAATAATTACGGCAAGGCCCATCAGGTCCAGAAAGCCCTGATTTTCACAACCCCGCTTTGGCAATTCATCAACTGGGTCAGAGCACGGCCCAAGCAGGCAGAGACGTCCGCATTCCACCGCGTTTCCGCGGGGGTTGGGTTCCTCTGTTTTGCGGGGGGCGCAAACCACCAGTCCAAGCCACCAATTGGAGGGAAGCTGACTAAAGCTGCAGGAGGTCTCGGGCGACGAACCCGTTTTTTTTCTTCTTCTTGTTTCGATTCGTGGACTGTGTCCAGGATTTGTCACGTGCGGCCGTGCGCCCAAGGAGGGGCTTTGGCCCCCGCTTCCCCTTTGTGGATCCTAGCCTTGCCTTTGTTTGTTCAGGTTCCCCTGGTTTGCATTGGTGGTTTGTCAAGGGTAAAAAAGGGTAAATGGAACACTACCTGACCTTCAAACCGCAAATCTGATGTTTTGCCACTAACAACGATCAACCTCAAATCCACATCCCTGTTCCTTTTTGGTTTCGCTGAAAGGTCTGGACCCCAAAAAGAGCGTCCTTTCTGGCGTGCGATCAGGGATGAGCAAGTCAGGATTCCAAGCAGTAGACAGTGTGGCCCTTTCTGTATCACGTTGGGTTTGGTCCGGTTTTCAAGGGCATCAACCAACTCAGTCCTATGCTTTGTCAAGCGGCCCCCCGGTGTTGGAAACCAAACAAAGGGGCCTATGGACGCTGTCGATCTCCGCAGGTGGAGCTGAAGGTGGGAGATGCTGAGGTGGGGGGAAAGAAGGGGGACAGGTTCGTTGGGGAGAGCTTTTCCGTGGCGTTGTAATTGTATGTTTTTGGGTTGGGGGGAGCCGCAACCAGGGATCCCGAAACCGGGCCCATGTTAAGACATCCATGAGGCCTTAACCATGAGAATGGGGTGGCGGGGTACTATTGAACCAACCTACCCCCAGGATCATCAGAGAATCTTGCTTGCGTTTCTTGCCCCTTGCATTACTTGCTGGTTTTCACCAATGATTTGCCGCCTGAGTTTCTGGACTTTATATATTATTTTTTGGGAGACACTCTCAGTGGTAAAGAGCAAGTGCAGACGATTTTTGCCAATCCAGTCAGGAAGTAATGCCTAGCAACTTTTTAGGGGATGACCCTCAATAATTGTAGCTCATTACCGCTTTCCAGGTTTGCTCTTTGGCTGCGCGGCAGCGCAGCAGCTCCGGCAGCACGGCAGCGGGTGAAACGGAGGCAACGGGAACTTGCAGGCCTCGAAATCAGGTCGATGCATTCAGCTGAAAGCGGAAAGACATCCGTTAAAGACACACGCTAGATCCTGCATGAACTTTCATTTACCCTTCCAAGCCAATCAAAAGCACACCCAAATACCAGCTGACATCCCAGTGCTTCTGATGCAGCTGTTTTCTGATGTATGCCCTACGGAATCCTAGCACTCCTGCAGATTAACATGGAGCCCAATAGCCCAGCACTGGTAGAGGAAATTTCGCTTTTGGGGCTTCTTCTCTTGGTTCCATGGTAATGTGCAGAGGGGGAAAAGAATTGTCCGACAGCCCAGCTGTTTAGTGGCACCCTGAAGTCCTTTTTGTTTGCGGGGTTTGTATTCCGAACGAAGCCAATAGCATGTTGCTTAAACAGTTTTTGTTTAATCATGCTTACATCAGGGTTTGGCTCAACCCAAACATGACTGAATATTGTGGTTTTATTGTGTGCATATACGTATCGGGAAGTATTTTAGCTTAATTGAGTTAGTTCGATGACACGCCTACACACTTCAGGAATTTGGTTAGATGAGTTGTTCGTGTGTTGCCTGAGTTGTGTTTGGATGATGTCTTCGATTTTGCCCACAGCATTCCGCTTGTTATCCTTTGTGTCCATTGCCTCCGTGCGGTTGACCATTTGATTTGGATTTGTGCTCGGTTTTGGACTCAGACTCAGACATGTTTGACCTTTGTTTTGCCTTTTGGTTCATGGGGTCATTCAGTGCACACTCCGAAGGTGCTGTGGTGCACCGTAGTTGCCAGCGCAACAGCTGGTGGAACCCGGAAGTTTTTCAAAGCAGAGGCGCTCGCAAAACAGACGAGGTGTCCCGACCAGGGAAACAGCGCAACCCCCCGCTTGCAACGCGCGTGTATCCGCAGGTGAGGGGATTAGCCTAAAGCGGTTGGATTTTGTCCTTGACACCTAAATGCACAAGGGCGTCAACGACTGGTACCGGGTCCCAGTCAGAGTTCTAGTTTGTGCACTTTCGGCAATTGATCTGGTTCAGAGAACGTCCCATTCCCGCAGAGGCCGTGTTCATTTGTTCATTCGCGTGTTACGGCGCGGGTTGGGTCTGGTTCCCCTGTTTTGCAAAGAGAGCAATTGAGGCGAGCAATGCTAAGCTTATGGTTGTTTTCGGTGACTCCCTTTCTTCCCCTGAGTGCTGTTTTGTGGGTTGCACGCTAGCAATGATCAACTTTGAATCCAGTTTTTTCTTTGTTGGTTTGGTGGGTTCCTTCCACTAAACTGGTGGCCCCAAAAGGGATTCTTTGTCTGGTTGGCTATCAATTGCAGTTCTGTAGCATTGTTTTGCATCACGATGGGTGTGGCGGGTCTAGTTTTAAATCTGAAGGAATCGACCAACCAATCCTATGCTTTGTCAAGGCGCCCCAGTGAACACCCGCCAGCTGGGTTGCTGGGTTGCTTGGGTTCAACGATCCAACCCCGGCTTGGAGTTGTTCTTCCCCCCGCCGGAATGCTCGAAGTTGTGGGGTTTCTGGCTTTGGTTCTGTCGCTTTGCGAGCACGTATCGACATTATGGGGCCCCAAATTGAGGGGCCATTGACCGCAGCACAAAGATCGTTGCAGGTCTTTTACTCCACGGACGACGAGGTGGAGGTGGAGGTGGGGGAAAAGGGCGGAGGACGTACCAGCCGGTTGGCAGGGATAAAGGAGATGGGCTTCAAAATGTTCAGCAAAGGTTTGGTTGAGACTAGACAGTCCAGTAGCTGCAGTTCAAATTTCTTTCCAGCGCCATCCATTTGTCCAAATTGACACCTAGGGTTCTGAGGGCGCAATTGCCTTGGCAATCATTTGTATTGGTCAGAATTCAGGGGTTGCTAAGGATTGGTAGGGGTGCTTCGGCCCAGATCAATCAGTTTGGTTCTCTTTGGTTTCCCCTTCTAGTTTGATGTCCACCTCCAATTGTCCGACTTGCCAGGCTTTCTATTACTTCCTAAGTTGACCGTCTGATCTAAGGAGGATCTAAGTAGTGGTTTGCGCAGTCGGACTGAGAGCTTTGCGAAGACTGCCTTGGGGGGCAGGGTGTCGGCTGTTTGAGGGCACGCTTAATTCTTCAGGGTTCCCTACACGGTTTCGGTGGCAATCATGTGAGCAGCATCGTAGAACCGATTGGTTTAGAACCCACTCGTGGTCACGCATATGGCAAAACCAAATCCGCCAACCGGGGAATCAATAAGGGGCTTGACTGAGGGAGAGGCCTTCCCAGATGCAAAGGGAAACCATGATCTTCATAAGTCCCGTCCGTGGGCAAACAGATAAATCAACCCTAACCCTAAACAATCCCTGAACCAAACCTAAACCCACCCCACAAAACCCTGAACCAAACCGAGACCCGCGCTAAACCAACCCACCCGGAGCCAACCCTACATGCAAGCACTGAAGTGTCTGTAAACTAAAACCCACCCAC